GCCGCTTGGCAGCCCCGGGGGGGCTCCGGCCTCGCTCACAGCCCGGGGCTGCTCCCCCCTCGGGCACGGGGGCTTCTGCACGTCGAATCGGGCCTGTAAATGCAGCAGCTTTTCCTTTGGCGCTTCTGCAGAACGCCAGCGTTTTCCTCACTGTGTATTTTTTTTTGTGGGGTTTGTTTGTTTTTTTCAATCTCTGCTGCTCCGAACCGTCTTCCCTCGCCCTGCGGGGTTTCGCCCCGTTTTTCCTACGGGGATTTGTCAACACGGGCAAAAAGTTTCCTCCCTTTCCCTTACTCAGAAGGTGATTTGCAAAGGGTGTGTGGGCTGTGCTCTCACTGCTTGGTGTGGGGTTGTGTCTTTAGGTACTCCAGGAGTTGGGAAAACCACGCTTGGGAAAGAGCTTGCATCGAGAGCTGGGATGACCTATATCAATGTGGGTGACATGGCAAAAGAAGGTAGGTTGCATGAACAGACTAGTCCAGCAGGTAACTTCAGAGAGCTTTGCTTTATGTAGCCACGTGCTTGCAGTGCATATCATACATGGTATGAAAAAGCAATTAATTTGCCTTAACAGAACTGAATATGGTGGCACGAATTAAGAAAGCACTTCTGTATCAGCAGCATGCTTTGTATTAAGTAACAAACAACAAGATTCATATGGATTTGTAAGTGCTCCTTGTTCTGAACACTGTTTTTGTTTGCATCCTCCTGAAACAAAGGTGACAGTGCAGATAATTTCAGTATCTGCTGTTGCTTCACAAACTTCCACGATTTACTTGTTTTGCTGCAGGAGAACTGTATGAAGGTTTTGATGAGGAATATGATTGCCCAATTTTGGATGAAGATAGGGTAAGTTCAGCTTCAAAACCTGCCATTTTCCATAGGATCACTGGATGGTTTGGGTTGGAAGGGACCCTACAGATCATCTAGTTCCAACCCCCCTGCATGGGCAGGGACACCTCCCACTAGACCAGGTTGCTCAGAGCCCCATCCAGCCTGGCCTTGAACACTTCCAGGGAAGAGGCATCCACAGTCTCCCTGGGCAACCTGTCCCAGTGTCTCACCACCCCCACAGTGAGGAATTTCTTCCTGATGTCCAACCTGAATCTCCCCTCTTCCAGCTTAAAGCCATTACCCCTTGTCCTCTCCCTGCACACCCTGGCAGAACGTCCCTCCCTGTCTTTCATGTAGCCCCTTGAGGTACCGAAAGGCCGCTCTGAGGCCACCTTAGTTTCAGCTGAACTAGGCTGTGTTTTGTTCCTTTTCTAGGTGATTGATGAGCTGGAAGACAAAATGAGCCAGGGGGGAGTTATCGTCGATTATCACGGCTGCGATTTTTTCCCCGAACGGTGGTTTCACATCGTGTTTGTGCTTCGCACAGAAAACTCATTCCTGTATGACAGGCTTGAAAGCAGGTACGTCAGGGGAGTCAACACGGAGTGAAGTACAGTTGCCTGACTTTGCCAAAGGTTTTCCTAGGGTATAAAAGACTGGTTTTCTGTAGAATACCTCATAGCTGCCTGCCTGTCTTTAAGGCTGCCCCTCAGTCTGGTTCTTGTTTCCTAGGGGCTACAAAGGGAAAAAGCTGGAAGACAACATCCAGTGTGAAATTTTTCAGACACTTTATGAGGAAGCCATGTTGTCATATAGGGAGGAAATTGTCCACCAGTTACCCAGCAACACTCCAGAAGACCTGGAGAGAAATTTGGACCAGATTACGCAGTGGATTGAGCAGTGGATGAAGGACAACAACTGACATTTGTAGCTCTGCTGGATCACCTCGGGAGAGGGGTTAATAAAGGACACTCATAGTTCTTGTATGATAAATTAAAATTAATATTATTGTATGATGGGGAGTAGAAGAAGGTTTGGCACAGGCAGGAGAGGCACGGAGGAGAAACAACAGGAGAGACAACTGAGCAGTGAGTGAGAAGATGGGAATGACACAGTTGCCCTCAGTACCAGGAACTACATGGAAGTGTAGAGTTTTTTGCAGTTTACAATTAAAACCAAACCTTCCCTGTCCTCCCCAGGAAAATTGAAATCCTGATCATTGGGTGGCATTTGATGAGCTTTGGGTTTCTGAAGGCTAAAACAGTTTCCTGAAAAGGAGATAGTCTGTTTCTGATTTGTAAAGACTAAAAACTGCAATCCTCTTGACTGTGTGGAGCCTCATGCAGGGTGAGGGGTGTGTGGTGTAGCCTAAGGAGGGTGCTTTGTTTTGGAAGGAAGAGGAGTGATGTAGTAAGAGGTATTTTACATTCATTATGCCAACTTTGGGAATCACAGTGTAAGGAAACACTGGATACATTTTCACTGGTGTGGAATGTTAAGCAATAAGGTTTCTTCCTCCTTTTTCTGGGAGTGTTCTCCATCGCCCATCCCAGTCATGGGACAGGTTTTTTACCACAAGTTGATCAAGGAAATGTATCATTTGGCAGGACAAGGAACCTGCTGTGACCCAAAAAGTGCTGTTACACTTCAAATACTGGCAGCCATCTGTGCTAATTGCTTTTAAAGCCTGGCTGCCAGGAGGGTGCAGGGAAGAAATAACCTTTCTTTGCTGTAAAGATGGTGTAGAAAGGGTTTCCTAATAAACTTTTTATACACACGAGTTTGAATAGTGAAACTCTATATTTGCCTGAAAATTTCCATTGTAGAGAGTCTTGTGGTGATATATTTAAGATTGTATTCCGTTATTCCAAATCGGGTGTCTAGTTTTTGTGAGGTTTGCAGAGGAGAAACTGCAGCAGCAATGGGAAATGCTGGAAAACCCGGAGTTTCCCGGGAGGGCCGGGACCAGACTCGTCTGCCTCCCGAGG